TTTTTCTGCCCATGTGTCCCTGTCAGTAAAATGCAGAGAGAAACTCTTGTCCTTCACACTCGATAGGCTAAATGAGGATTTTTGAGGAAGAAAAGCACAAACTGAAATAAAGGAAAATCTTTGGGAGTGGTATATAGTCTTTTTTTTTTCCCCTGAAAACTATACACATGATAATTGTCAATATGTATGCACCTGTGCTTATGTGTATGGTGGCTTCATATTTTGATGTATTAATGAATTCTTCCCCCTGGTCTTTCCTGGGAACATAGGTACACAAAGCCAAATTTAAGGTTCTCGAACCAGAAGCGCTTGGACTTTTGAGTTTCAAAAACAAAGCCGTGGAGGCTTTGGACACGATGTTTATGCTGTGAACCTTAGCTCTGGGAGAATGCATGCTCCCTCCAACAAGCTGGCACACACCCATGGGCCGCTAGCTTCCTCCCGTGAACCAGCAAAGCCAAAGCAGAGAGGGAGTTGGTGAATGTCAGAGCTCAGCAGCTAACATCCAACTTGGGAGAACCTCCTGGGGAGCATGAAGTGTGGCCTCCTGGCGTGGGAGGGAGAGGGGCCAGTAACATCTCCTGCAGTCCTTCGGTTGACTGTGCGCATGCCTTCTTCTCATATGTTCTGTGGCTCTCTCATCTTTAGCTTTTATCTTGCCCTAAAGTTGTTTTTCTGTGCTATGACTTTATTCGGGGGTGCAATTCAAGTGTAGGATAGCCATGAGCTCCAGAAAGTTTTCTGCTTGAATGTGAACCATATGACTCTCCAAGAGTTTCCCAAGAATGGCAACCTCTCTCTCCTCCTCCAGCCATCGCTACCCACTCTCGGATCTGCTCTTCCTCCTTTGGCAAGTACAATGCACCTCCATTGCCAGATATTTTAACATTACATTTTATGGGCATACCATATTCATTTACTCCCAAGTTGTTGCTTTTTACTTATGTAAACTTGATATATTTTTCTATCTGTAAAGTGGTTTGGGTAACTTGGGTTGGGATGGAATGCTCATGATTTCCCCCCCAAAAATTAATGAAAATACTTTTTATTTAACAGCTTTTTACTTAGTGGCAGGGCTTTCAGGAGTGAATTAGAGTGATTAGGTGAGGAATCGGTGCAACTGGGTGGAGGAAGGGAGACTCCAGTCACTATAATTACATGATTATGCTAACGATCCCACGTATCTCCTGGAATTTCTTAGACAAAATAAATATTTTTCAAGTATAAATAATGATGGTGCAGCATCAATGCTGGGATATTTGAAACAGAGCAGACATTTTTGATGAAGAATCTTTCAGGAAACTGTTTTGTTGCTTGGGAGGCTCTAGAGGAGCTTGACTGTTGGCACTGGTTCCCCCTGGGCTGCAGCAGGCAGGAGCGTGACTGGGGGGTGTGGTGACATAGATGGGGTATTTCATTCATTTTACAATGGCCTTAGGTTTATACTGACCGAACATTAGCATCTATGGGGAAATTGTGCTGGCCTTTGAGCTGCGTGAGTTTGACTGCTGGGGATTAGGCCAGTTATTTTTAAATGCTGCCTTTCCTTTCCATTTTGGCTACAAGCTCATGGTAGTAAAGGGGCACATGGGGGGGCGGTATGTGATCAGGAGAGATGAACACGCACATAAGTAGGTATAGTAGTCTGGCTTCAGATCCCAACCTTGATTTCATCAGGTTTTTGCGGGAAAAGCCAGAGTAAAATGGTGCGATCGGGGATTTGATTAAGGAAGGCACAGCTCCTGTGGATGTGTGGAAAACGCATCAGCATTAAGAATATTCATACATCTCATCATGATTACATGTGGTTGCTACACTTTTATTGATTTCAGTATTTCAGTTCTATACATTAGGAGCCAAGCTGAAGAGTGTGTGTGTGTGTGAGAGAGAGAGAGAGAGAGAGGGAGAGAGAGAAAGAGAGAGAGAGAGGAAGGTAGGTCACATAGGAGAGGCTTAAAATGGGAAGAGGTACAGTGAGGCTAGGAAGTTGTCTTAAAGCTGTCCTTGGATAGCTGACACATAGTTTTTATTTAGGTGGTGTTCCAGATGTAGAACAATCACATTTCTAAACGTGCCTTTATTCATACTTTACAGTGGACTGAGAACGGAAGGGATCAAAAGCCAAAATCAAAGCTTTTAATTTTGAACCCAATGGCTTTATTAGCACATGACTAGGAGTCCAGGAGATTACAAAGAGAGTTTTCTTTTTTGCATAGTTGAAGTGTGCTTTGAATCATTTTGAAATCTTGACTTCAGTCTATGCTGACCACTTCGGGGCAGGCACCAACGTCCCTAGCCTGTTCTTGAACTTAATTACCCCCTGGAATCCTCCTCCTCCTAGACCTGGAGGAAGACTCTTCCTCTTCTGTGAGACTCTTTTGCCCTCGCCTTCAATCAAGGCTGGAGGTGCCGCAGGGACCCTGGGGCCCAGGAAGGAACTCACCAATGATCCCAAGCTCCTTTTAGGAGCGACAACCCAAGCCGGCTCATTGCCCCTGTGAGTGCTCAGCTGAGCCCACTCTACTGGCCCCCTGGGTGCTATTAATAGGACAGTGCTGGGTGAGGGGGAGTGACAGGCAGGGCCGACTTGCCACAAGGCTTGCTAACTGGATGCCTTTAAAACCCCTCATTGTTCTTTATGCCTCAATATGTTGAGGGAGGAGTGTGTGGCTTGGCTACCTAGCAGAACTCATGTTCAGAATTTCGAACATATTAAAAAGTCAAGCTGAATTTGAAAACAACCAGCTCTAAGCTTTTTAGATTTGTGAGATAAAAAACAACTCCTAAAAGACCCTTTTCCAAAATATTTTCTTTTTTCATTTTTTGTTTGGAAACAAAACCAAATGTAAAGTTGCAAGAAATGTACAATGACTCCCAAAATGCCCTTTACCTAGACTCATTATTTTGCCATATTCACTTTTTTCTCTGTCTTTGTACATAGACATGACTATTATCATCATTATTCTTGTTGTTGTTACTGAACCGATTATGTGTACCTTGCAGACATCATGACCCTTTACCCTCAAATTCCCAGCCTGGATCTTTTATGAACAAGGATGTTCCCTTGCCAAAATGTTATTAATTTTTTTAAAAGATTTTATTTATTTATTTGACACAGAGAGAGAGAGAACGAGAGAGGGAACAGAAGCAGGGGGAGTGGGAGAGGGAGAAGCAGGCTTCCCACCAAGCAGGGAGCCCGATGCGGGGCTCAATCCCAGGATACTGGGATCATGACCGAGCTGAAGGCAGACGCTCAACGGCTGAGCCACCCAGGCGCCCCATGTTATTAATTTTTTTTTTTTTTGGTAGAATAAGAGAAGGAAGGGTCTGTTGAAGCCTTCATAACCAAAGTGTGGGCCAGTCCAAAGTGCTGACTGTGGGGGCCCTGTGCAGGCTCCCACTAAAGGCAGGGAGAGCGGAGAGGAGGCACTACCGCAGGGCTGGAGGACTTTATTGTTGCCATAAAACATATTTTTTCCATGTTCTCTTTAGACACAAGAAATGAAGGCTGCATTCCCAAGATCTGGCTTGTGGCTTTAAAATAAAAAAAATATTTTTACAGTATTCTTTTTGGAGGGATGAAAGCATGTGTTTTATTAACATTTCCCAAACTCTTTTTTTTTAGGTTTTAGGCTGACAGCATCCAGCCTGCAGACTGCGGCAATCGAAATACATGCATTTTTAGAAATTATACCTTTCAGTTAACTGCAGGGGAAAACTTTCTTCTGGGAATCATCATCTCTCTGATAGAGAACTCGAAAATCCCTGTGTATGATCAGCCCAGTAGGGTAACACGCAGGTGATCCGGCTTATCTCACCTAACATGCCAATGAGTTTTGCCATCAGTTTTCTGGGGCTTTTGCTCATTGTTGGTTTGGGCCTCATTCATGATACTCTTTAGAGACCTGGCCTAACGCAGGCGGCCGAGAGTTGCCTGGAAAGAGGTATCAACAGCATCCTGGCCACTCTGGGAAGCGCCCAAGCCTCATCACCTCCCACCCCAGCTGTCCCACGACGCTTACAGAGCCCGGGGGCTCTCCGAGGGGCAGCCCAGCTTTTCCTGCTAAGGACCCAAAGGACTTGCTCAGAGCTGGAATTCGGCGAAGCAACTTGCTCCAACACGCCAAATCTGCCGCAACCCCAATACCCCACCCTCCTGCCTCTGCGCTCGCTACCCACACCCCCAACCCCAATTTGAGGACTTCCTGCCCCCATCACGCTGAGAGTCTCAATCCTAACCCCTTGGATGCGAGTGTCTTTGCGTCGGAGCGCGCCGGGCGCGGCGAGGCCACCAGTGACTCCCAGCGGCCGCACAGGGCGCTGCGCCCCCCTCGCCCCGGCCTCCCTCCGCCCTGCGTCCGCCCCGCCACCCCCGCGCCGCCTCCTGCACTCGGGCTGGAGGCGGATTCCTCTCTCCGGGTTTTCAAAGCGCCTTTCCGAAACCTCCTCCCCGCCCAGAGAGGGAGTGAGATCCCGGGCGCAGTCGCTCCCCGGAGCGGCCGAGGGGCGCGCGGGGAGAGGCCTGCGCCGGGGTACTTTCAAACTGAGGCGCGCGCACACACTCACACCGAGACAGACAGACACACACACACACACACACACACACACACACACACACACATACACGCCCATTTATATAGGCGGTGGCGGCGGCAGCGGCCGGGGCGCCGGCGGCGAGGCAGGAATGATGGAGCTGAGCCAGCCGACCCGGGTCGGAAGCAAGTGAGGAGAGCCCAGGCGCACCCCGGGATTTCTGTGCCCCGCTCTTGTCATCCTACCCAGGGAACGGTGCGCCCGGAGGACGACCAGGTGGACTGATTTGCCAGAGGGGCGGGGAAGAGGAGGAGACCAGGTGAGCTGAGGAGCCCTCGCGTCTCCGGACCGCCCGGTCGCGCCTTTGCCCGACTCCTGCTCCCTCTCCGCCCAGGTGGGCGCGCCCGGTTCCCCGCTCGCAAGGGGCGCTTTGAGGAGACCAGAAAGTCTCGGCCCGGCTTCGCGGGATGCCTTTCGCCAAGAGGATCGTGGAGCCGCAGTGGCTGTGCCGGCAGCGGCGCCCGGCGCCCGGCCCGGCGGAGGACGCTAACGGAGGCAGCGCTGAGCCGCCGCCGCCCCTGCAACCGCCGGACCGACGGGACGAGGCCGTGGCGCCGGGGCCGGAGGATCCCACCCGCGCGCCTCCCGGGCCGCCGCCGCCGCCGCCGCCCCTGCCCGCGCCGACCGACCAGGCGCAGCCGCCGCACGGCGAGGCGCCAGCAGCGGGCGAGGAGAGCGCGGCGGGGGTCGCGGAGGCGGCGTCCGCGGCTGGCGAGGCCACCTCGGCGGCAGCCGCGGCCGTGCTGCTCATGCTGGACCTGTGCGCGGTCAGCAATGCCGCGCTGGCCCGCATCCTCCGGCAGCTCTCGGACGTGGCCCGGCACGCGTGCAGCCTCTTCCAGGAGCTCGAGAGCGACATCCAGCTGACCCACCGCCGCGTCTGGGCGCTGCAGGGCAAGCTCAGCAGCGTGCAGCGCGTCCTTGGCACGCTGGACCCCAAGCAGGAGGCAGTGCGTGAGTACCCGCGCCGTCCGCCCGCCCGGCGCTCCGCTCCGGCGCCGCACCCTCGCGCCCTCCCCGGTCGCCGCAATCCCAGCCCCGCGGCGCCGCGCCCGCTGCAGCTTGCACCTTAACTCTCGCCTCCCCACCCTCCCCTCCTCTGGGACCCACCCCAGGCCTCCCGGTGCTGGGAGTTCCCGCTGGGCGGGAGGCGGGGATGCAGTCGCGGAAGGGGGTGGGGGGGGGAGAAAGTTAAAGGGGCGGCCTGGGAACTCGTAGGCAGCCGCGGGCTGAGAGGGAGAGTGTTGGGGACACAGGAGGCAGAGGGGTCTGTCATTCATTCCCGGGACTCGCCTTCCCCGGGGGTGGGGGTGGGGGATTGGTGCAACTTCGGTGGTTTCCAGCAGTCCAGCCCCGAGCCCTGTAGTACCCTCCGTGCGTGCTTGGGGGGCTCGAGGAGTAGCGAGCGTCCTTTTAGGGCTTCTGTAACGCCGTAGCGGTTTTGTCACTCTTACTGTTACCTCAGGGTCTGCGCCGAGCCCCGAACTTGTGCCTGCGCTTGCGTGCGACGTAGCGCGGCGCCGTCCGCCGCGCGAGTGAACTCCGAAGCCTCTGCTCTAACCTTGTGGCCCAGAGGGGCCGCGGGGATGGGCGTGGAGGCAGGAGTGTCCCAGACCCCGGGCATCTTTCCTGCGCCCAGCAGCACAGGGCTCCTACTAAATGGCTCTCGATGCCGTCTGCCTTCTGAGGAGCCTGGAGGCGTGTTCCCCTCCCCCCTCCCCCACCGTGCACTGTCGCCCCAAATCCACCCGCGTGTGGAAGACCCTTGGGCATCTTTGCTGCCCTTTAACTTCACTCTTGCGACACCCTAGGGCTCCCAATAAATGTCCTTCTGTGTCATCTGCCCTCCGAGGGGCGCTCAGGTCGGTCAAATCAGGCGGCGGCCGAAACCTTTAGGAACGAACCGACGGTGGGCGGGGGCGCTAGGCCCGCGCGCCGGTCCTTTGGCGCCTAGTCCGGCTGCGACGCTCGTGGCGAAGGTGATGTCAGCGGCTCTGGCTTACATAAGAAGCTTCCTCCGTTGCTGCAGCAGCTGCGCCGGAGCGCGGTGGCCGCGGAGCGCGCGAGGCGGGGGCGCTGTCGCGGCATCCTTCCTCGGGGATTTCCGGGCACCTCTGCCCTGCAGCCCAGCCCCCTCGCCGACGCTCCCCACTCGCGCACCCCCCCAAACAAACAAAAAACCCCCCTCTGCACCGCGCCCCGGGAATTCGCTGCTTTTCTGCAATAACAATAATAATAAGCGTAATGAATAAATGATGTGCGCGATCGGTTTTCGCAGCTATAAAAGACCCAGAGTTGGGTTAATGACTGGTTGTTTAAAAGGGCAATTCCGGGATGAGTTCTGGAAAGAATTAGGACTGCCGTAGGCCAAGTCGTATTTTACTTTTGGGACTTGAAATGAGCGCTTTAATCCTGCCTCTTTTTTTTTTTTTTTTTTTTAAACCCCAAACCACACAGCAGGGACAAGCCCTTCACTTTCTACAGCGCTGATATCTGGGGAGTGCGGTTGGGGTGAGTGGTGGTTTCACTTCAAAAGAACTGGAGGGAAGTTTTGCAGACAATGTTGAGTGGTGCATACATTTGTGTGTGTGTGTGTGTGTGTGTGTGTGTGTGTGTGTGTGT